CTGGTTATAAAGGTACAAAATGATTAGGTAGAAATAACTCATTAGCATTGATAAAATGCAAAGCTGTAGTTGAAGATATGAAAAAAAAAAAATCAGCAATAGTCTTGCTGCCAAGTAATTGGTAGAGCTCTTAGCTTAGTTTATTACATATTAAAATTTTAATCTTTTATGTATTAAAATATTTTAAGACTAAATTATAACCAGCAAATATTTAACTTGTAAATATAATTTGTAACAATTTTCTGACGTTATTCTTTCAGAAAAAATCTGACTTGTATTGCAGTAAGGTTTAGGGATCAGATCAGGTTCTGGACAACACAAGGACAAGCCTTCTCCAAATCTAATTATTAATGGCATTATTGAATTCAACCAGATGTTTTCACATGGATAAAATTAAGTACACGAATAAGTCAAGATCCAAGCACACGCTTAGATTCGACAGAAGATAAGAAAAGGTGAAACAAAAAGTAATGAGGACCGTTAATGAAAAACTGTATCTCCCTGGTTGTTAATAGAACTTGAAATTAAAAATTCAAAATGTATTAGGCCTGTTAAACGATCGCTCTGCCGACAGACAAATGAGCGGGATGTTTCTCACATCATAATCCCTACTAGCTTCTATCTGTCCGAGTTTTAGCCAGCCTCAGTAGTAAACCTTTTACGGCTTCCCAAAGGTAATTACATAAGAGATAAATATACTCTCAGTGTACAAAATATAGCTAATGAGTTACCTTTCTATTAATAATGTGAGGACTTCAAGTATTATCCTAATGGATAATCCTTTATGGAAATGATGTGAGTGAAAGCTAGTGTGCATGATTTAAAATACAGTACACACTTGTCCTCTCACCACTTCTAAAATTGCAAGATCATTTGCACCTAATCAGCTGCAAATCAGACACCGAACAAGAAAAAAAATAAAGATCTAGTATTTTAAGAAAAGGAGGAAGACATTAACAAACGAAACTATTTCTAACCAGCAAAAAATATTTTTAAAGGAACATTTTAGCCATAAGCAAGTTATTCCTACAAAAGAATTAAACCTCTGGAAACAGGAATTTCTATTTAAACACCAATCTCGGCCAATAATTACAATTGTACTTCTATAATAATTCATCTAAATAGAGTCAATAATTAACTCGAAGTGTCTCTGGTGTATTGCTTTTGGTGTAAGTTTACCTGCAAACACAGACTGAGATGATGACTGGCTTTGGATAAAGGTGGCATAGAGAAAAAATGTCGAGCATGCAGTATGCACTCCCTCTACTGGGCACTGAAATTATCCCGAGCAGGCATTCAGAGAAAGAAAGGGAGATGTCCGAGCATCCAGGTACCGTGAAACAAAAGCCCTTTTACAGCTTCTGCCCTCCTCCCCTAGATTCAGCTAAAACTCAGATTCACAGAAAAATGGATTTCAAAACTCTTGTTTATACTCTCAAAATACATTTCCTATCAGAAATCAACACCCGATTCACACCTCAAACAAGTATTTAACTACAGTGAACTTAACTTGTGTAAGCACACAAAAACTCATTTGCTTTTGACCAACACGGTAAGACTGTCATTTTTTGTCCATCCCCCACCACCTCTTTGAAATGTAACAGCTCAGGAAGAAATGTCTTGATGACTTCTGATCTGCTGGGGGCACAGCAATGGGAAGAAGGAATGCGTGCTCTGGGCAGCTGGGATATATTAACATTTATAAAATCTGCTGCAAGGGATTTGTTTCTAGACAGTCAAAGGATAACCTTTGTCGTTCTTTTCCCTCCTCCCACAGCTCCTGAGAGGTATGAGCAGAATGGTGCCATAGCCTGCTTGTGTTGGCAGGGTTTAAGTGTTACGTAAAAATGACGGCCCTCCTTATAATTAAGGCTTTCTGATGGTTTGAATTCTTCACTATCATGGAGGAGAAAAGAAAGAAGTGGTTATATCTCATGTCACTATAAACCATTTTATACAGTGAAACACTTTGCCTTAAAGTTCTGTGCTTTCCTTCAAGTGACTTTGTATAGGAGAAGTTCCATAAACCTACAGAAAGTTCCTCTGTAGTTTGCAAAGCAGTGGGGCTTTTACATTTTTCAATAAAGATGAAGGCAAAAAAATTTCAGAGAAAATAATTTGTGCTAATTTTCTAACGTGCTCTGATTGCCTAAGGATGCTGCCTTGCAGACTAGTGCTCCGTCATCTGAAAGATGAAGCGAGAAACAATGGAAAGCATGGAGGCAATAGTGAGGATTGCCAAAAGCAGACACCTTCCTGCACCAACCAAATAATTCTTCTGTGAAGGCAGTCCAGGTAACCACCAACTTCTTCCTCACAATGTAATTTACATCCAGCTACATTGCTGGTACATTCATATTGAGCAATAGCATCAAGAATTACGCCAAATATATACTCCTTATTTGCATCTCAGCCATGTGCATGTATAACTGCTCAGCTAAACTAGAGTACCAATGACTCGTGGCAATGGTAAGGGACTCCAGGACCGTCCCTCTTTCAAGTGGCAACTTCAATCTCTGCGGGATTGAGAGATACAGTAGAGTTCATACTGACAAATCTCCAGTTTCACTGTCTCTCACTAAACCCTTCCCTTTATCAACTTTCTTGATCTCAATTTGAGGATGGGTAAAGCCTTTACTCCCCCCATCCCCGGACAGAACAAAAACAAAACACAGAATAGAACAGATGAAAAGAGGGGAAAATGAGAGACCACAGAAGCATGGAGAATAAGCACAAAGAAAAACCAGAAAGTCTGAGTTGACTGGGCAAGCCCAAGTCCTCAGCCAAGTTTCCAAGTCCCTATTGTTCTGTTTTATATTTGCAGATAAAATAAAACCACTTTCTCCCTGAAGGTAAGGCTTGCCTTGGTGCAGGATCATAATTACACTCAAAATGAGCAAGTACACAAACAATTCACCTTCATGTTCTCCAGCTAACACCACAGGTACCTCAAATTGCAGTCACTAGTTGCCAGGAAAACTGGCAAACGTAGAGATGTCACAGACCAACTACAAACCAGACAATTTACATGGGACCCTCTGCACTCAGACACTTTATTTACATTCTCTCTCTCTGCTCACTAAATGCTCCCCTTCACTCTAGTTGTGCTCATCTCCACACGAGCAGGTACAGCGCTCACTGACTCCATGTGCTAACAAGTAACATCCGTGATGCACCGAGCTCTGTCGGGGCAGGATGGCTGTGAGCCAGTGCTTTGAAGGACAGACTATCAGTACTTCTTCTCTTGGATCTAAAGATACAGAAGATAGCAAAACTTTGGCATGGCAAGAACTATAGTTCCAATGACGCAAGGGCGTACAGACAGAAGTAACAACACACAACACAAGCAGCAATGCTGAATTAGAGGAGCTGTGTGTAGTGTTTGTTTCACATGCTGACATGTAAATATTTGGCAGATGGGGATTTAATAATCACAGTCTAAGAGATGCTGTTTATTTTGTTCTATCAGACTGTCATTTTACCGTGTTTTTACATTTCAACCAAGTCATTTTACACGGGCATAAAAGATAATTTATACAGTTTCCTTCTGCAGTACAAAGCTCCCTGTGTTCAGGTTATAAATTTAAAGTAACTCAGCACTAACACTAAATTTGGGTATTTTCCACTGGAGAAAAACCCTAGGAATAATTATATATTGTTTTCAATGCCTAAGTTAATACCTCAATCTGCATTGCTTCATTTTGAATGGATTCTTTGTGAGCACTGCTATGTATTTTCCTTTTTTTTTTTCCTTCTAACGATGGAATTTATGAGCTTTCAAACCTTATATAGATAGCATTGATCAATCTCCAGAAGTGGTAACAATACCACTTTAAATACATACACATGCACGCACACACACACAAAAATCAAGGCTTGAATGTCCTTTATATCTTTCAAGAAATATAGCAACCAATATTCCATGCAGAGCTGCAGCAAATGAAGTCCTGTCAAGCAAATGGCAGGAATGACAGCAGATGTCTGGATTCCTTCATAGCTGGTTGCATAAAGGTAGCACACATATTTCACTGGAGAAAAAAAAACCTCTGACAAGACAGTCTTTCAGTACTTTTCATTCAGAGTTGGCATTTTTGACTGGTGTGGTACATCAGTAGGTATTAAGGTGATGAACCAGATTTATCTTGATAAAGCTTCATTTGCACAATGAAAGCAAAGTCTACAACACTCAGTCATGGCTAAACGAGGCTACCACAATTTAGTCCAAGGTATAATGTCCAGATCAAATTCTTACAATCCTGTCATAAACCAAACTTTACTCTGGACCCCAACCCAAAACACTTATTTTCATGTCAAGCTATACAGTAATTTTGTTTCATTGCAACCAACAGAAATGAGTATTATGCAGCTCTGCTTTTTAGCTACATAAACAAGCCATAGACTCCTTTTTGGATCTGAATAAAGTATTTGATCTTTCAGCCTCTGTTTATTCGCAAGTTTTACCTATTTCACAAAAACTGTCTTTGTGAAATATATTTTGACACTTTAAAGCTTTATATAACAACTAATACTTTCAAGATATCCTCAGTCACATTACATGCTCACTAGAGAGAGTAAATGCTCCGAAGCAGAGACAGGATTTTCCTGAATTGTGAGACACTAGCATAGTTTAGCAAGTTGTAAAAGAACACGAGTAATACAGTGTTTACTGAGAAATATGCACAGAAGAAGCTGAGGACATAGCATTACACATGAAGAAACTAAGAGTAAATAAAATCTGAACTTAACCACTTCCCTATCCTAAAGGACAACAGTGCTGCCTTACATGGTTTTGTCTAATAACCAGGCCCCTGGCATACTTTACAGGTGTTCAGTGCAACTTCCTTGAGTGAAGCTACAGCCAGCCGAATTAGTGTACTTTTCAATAAAACTTGTGTTGAAAAGTTTCCCAGATTAAGGCTTAAGAGAAAGTGCATTTTTTGAATACAAGCTAAGCATTACTAATGGTCCCCTCTAGTAAAACAGAATTTTAAGAAACTCACCACTTTTCTTTTTCTCGCTTTAAAGGAAATGTTCATTTCCTTGTATTTCTTCATAGCAGTTTCCAATTTATTCTTGAGATCAATGGCACATCTTAGCCGATCATCATTTATCCCTGCTCTGGTAAATAACTGCAAAGCAAGAAATCATTGTTATTCTTTTTTCTAGGCAGCTGAGCCAAAAACCATTTTCAGTTTTCCTGCATAATTAATGAAACAACATTGTCACAAATTCCTTTATTTTACAAGTAACAATTAGTGAAGCCACTTCTTTTTCTACCTAGAACATAAAAGCTAATGGCAACTACTAAAAATAAAGAATGAACAGCTGGTATAAAAATCTCCTGAGAGTGTCCTTCTATAGGCCAAATTCCATGCATGAGGCTCCTGAGCAGTAATATCAACTGACAGAAAGGACATGCTGTTTTTCTGGTACAGACATGTCTGACAAAAATGAGCTGTGTTTTACTTTAACCCTTTGCAAAGAAGCCCCATTTTACTATATCTTTAAAAAAAAAAAAAAAGTATGACTGGGGAGAATACCCCCAACTGAGAGCGCCCACAAAAACTCTGTAG